AAAAAAAAAAAAAAAAAAATGCGGCGATGAATGGGAGGACCACAGAGAGCCAGGTGGCTTCATGTGACTAAAGGTGGCTTCCTTTCCCTAAAGGTTGGGGAGGGGGTGGCCATGGAGGAGGAATACAGAGAGCGAGGAAGGGGGTGGGTCAGGAAGAGGCAAGAGTGAACTTCCCAAGCACGATCAGGGCTGACGCGTCCCCTTTGAATGAGGAAGTAATTCAAATAAATGCCATTGAAATCTGTTCTGGAAAATAAGAGATTGCCAGTAATGGACCACATAGTGGCATATAACAAATCCATGTTTTTTAATACTTTAAACACATCCCAGTTGTATCAAACAGACTGAATTTTCACGAGAAGTTGCAATCAGCTAAACCAAAAGCCTATAAAGCCCCCTCCCTGTCTCCCTCCCTCGCTTTCTTTCCCTGTCTCTGTCTCTCTTTCGTACAGAGGTCATTCCAGCTGGGCAAATACGAGATTGTCAGCCAAGATTTATAACATGACAGTATTTTATAAATGAATCTTTGGGGCCATGCAGGGCTTCTCACACACCTGGATGACCTTTTCTTTTCCTGGTGTATATAAAACGGTATCTGCATGTATACAGAGGAAATACTTTCTAAGGAAGAATGAGTAGAACAAGAGTGAGGGGGTACGACATCAAAAGCAGGAAAATCCTCAGAGCAGGTTTCATGCAGAGTCTGCATATGTATAAATATGTTTATTCCAACAGATCACCCGAAATTTCTTCTCCATTTCCACACATTTAATTCTCTCACCAGATACATACTGTTATAGTCCCCAAAGGCAGGTTTCCTTCCTGTGGCCAATTGTCCAGACATCCTTAATAAACCAATTATATTAAATGATTCCCAATTAATTACAAAAGAGATAAAAAGATAAAGCTAGTTGTTTTTTTTTTTCTTTTTTCTTTTTTTGGCTTTGCTGCACGGCATGCAAGATCTTAATTCCCTGACCAGGGATTGAACCCGTGCTCCCTGCAGTGGAAGCATGGAGTCGTAACGGCTGGACTGCCAGGGAAGTCCAAAGCTAGTTTTCAAAAGACAAAAAAAAAAAATTGCACTCTAAGGAAAGCATGCCTGATTTCCTGAGCCAAAAGGCCTTAGCCTTCTGTATATCCCTTTGCTTTTGGAAATATCATCTAGTCCAAAATAATATTTCCCATTTATTTATTCAAGAAATACTTACTGACACCTACTGTGTGCCAGGCACCATTGTTCCAGACACTGAAGATACATCAGTGAATCAAATAGATAAAAATCCTTGCCCTCGTGAGCTTTACATTCTGGTTAAGGAGATGGGTAGTAAATGTGTGAATGTGTGTATGTGCATGTCAGATGATTTTTTTAAATCTATGAGAAATTCGGCAGGGAGGCTCGAGTAGCTATAGAGCTGAGTGAGCGGGAGTGTGGGAATCAGGGTGTGAGCAGAGTGCTGGGAGGTGATGACAGATGACAGGGACCTTGTCACCATTGTAAGGACTGCTATAAGCTACTGGAAGGACTTTTATTCTGAGGGAACTAGAGCCCATCAGACAGTTGTGAGCAGAGCAGGGGCAAGATCTGGCTTACGCTTTAACAGAATCCCTCTGACTGCTGAGCTGTAGGGAGGCGCCAAAAGTGATGGCAAAGAGACCATCAGGAAGCCGATGCATCATCAGAGCCTGAGACCAGGGGGTGGGGGTGGAGGTGACAAGAGGCTGTCTGATCGTGGATGTGGTTTTAAAGGGAGAGGATTTGAAGGCACGAGGGTTTTCTGATAGTTTAGATGTGGCATCAAAGAGGATTCCAAGGTCTGAGGCCTGGACAAATCAGGAAATAGAAATTGATGTTATAGAAAATGGAAAACAATATTACCTGGGCAAAGACTCTATCTCAGGCATCTTGTAAAGTGGTACTTTAGGAAGCATCTGGGTAGTATGTCATGCTGTGATGTCTGCTGTTATCATGTCCCTGATATGATGTCAGGACTCTCCAGGTGGCAGTAACCTGACATTTGATCATTCATCCAACAAGTGTTTATTGAGTGCTTACTATATGCTACATACACTTCTAGGTATGGAAAGAAAAGCAGTTTAAAAA